ACCCGCACCCATACCCGCACCCATACCCACACCCACACCCTCAACTTTGTCTACAAGACAAAAGTTAGAAAGACTAAAAATTGTTTGTGATAAGCTGCACTATCGAAATCATACAGATCGTTATCCAAGTTTATTAAATGAAAAAAGATCTATTGTCAATCATGGAAGAACAGGTAAAAAAATTTTAGATTTGTTTAATGTTCATAAAGTATCTTTATTTGATCATATACTATGTTACTAACTGATCTTTGTTCATTCTTATCACCTTGTTATTGTACGTCTGAATTAATATGACTATATTGTTGTTCGTTTCTTTTTTACCTGTTCATTTCTGTGCGTTGTCTTACTTTTTCTCTTTTTTTCTGTAACATTTTCCTCAAGGGCGTTATTTCGTTCAAGGCATCGAAAGTGAGGATTGCTAAACCACACACTTCATATTATTTTAAATAAAACAATTAAAATTAAAATGAATCATGTAGATCATAGGTGTCGTCAAGGTACTAATCAGTATATATATCGTTAGAGGTTTCAACGAATCTACTTTTTTCAAATTTACATCTGTCTTCTTTGCGATTTATTCAATAGTAATAAATATGATAATAACAACTATACTATTTAAATACAATATTATAAAACTCTGGTATAGCACGGTTCTATTTATAGTTTACTTCTTCGTGAATTGTGTAGTTTTAATTGTCTTGACAAAAAAATATTTATCAACACTCTTATAGATCTTGTTTTCACAAAGTGATTATACTGTTTGTTTGTAGTTATTAACACTTTCTGATAGAAAAACTAGGAAATGGGTGTGGATGAGAGTGCAAGTATCCGCACCAGAGATGGGTATGGTTCGTGATTTTCAAAAACTTAAACCGAACCGAAACCGATAAAAATTTTACGAAGCAAATCCAAATCGAACGGAAACGACTCTGTAAAAAATGAAAGGATATCAGTATGGGTGTGAAGTTAATTCCTTAGTTACATCTACACTCACACCACACCCACATCACCCACACTCACACCACACCCACAT